CGGCCATGAGTTCTGTGCTGCCAATGCAATCACCAATCTGATGGTATCCATCCTTGCAACTGGAGCAAAAACTTCTTGATAATCAATGCCAAACTCTTGCTTGTAACCCTTTGCCACTAAACGAGCTTTGAATTTGTCAACCACCCCATTCTCTTTGAGCTTTGTCTTGTAGATCCACTTAACACCAATTGTTTTGTGCCCTTCTGGAAGATCTGTCAACTCCCAAGTCTGGTTCCTTTCAATAGAACCAATTTCTTCTGCCATGGCCTTTTGCCACTTTTCTTCTTTAATAGCTTCTTCATATGTCAATGGATCACAATCTACAAATAAAGCAAAATGATTAACTGGAACATCATCTTGAGGTAGATCTGTTACCTCATAATCTTCCAACCATGCTGGTCTTCTCTTTTTGCGTTGAGGTCTGGAACTAGTTCTAGATTCCAGTTCTGGTGTTGTTGGCAGACTTTCTCCAGTATTGAACTCTACTTTTGTAGGCAGACTTTCTTCAGCTGTCTATCTTAAAATCTCGAGATCTGCTAAAATTTGACCTTCTGAGTTCTGCACAGTTAGATCTTCTCCATTTTCAAAATCTGCAGGAATTTGTTGCCCATATTTTTCTGTCCAAGACCAGGTGCTTGCTTCATCAAACACCACATCACGGCTAATGATGACCTTCTTGGTTAAAGGATTGTATAATCTGTAAGCTTTGGACTGATCACTAACACCAAGGAAAATACACTTTTCCCCTTTGTCATCAAGCTTACTCCTTTTCTGATCTGGCACATGTGCATATGCTATGCACCCAAAAATTCTGAAGTAATCAACAACAGGTCTATGTCCACTCCAAGCCTCTTCTGGCGTCACATCTGGAAGTGGAGATGTGGGACTTCTGTTCAAGATATGAACACTCCAATTAACAGCTTCTGGCCAAAACTCCTTAGGCAAGCCGCTCTTTGACATCAGACTTCGCACTATATTCATGATTGTGCGATTCCTCCTCTCACATACACCATTTTGTTGAGGTGTATAGGCTACTATGAGTTGCCTTTTAATGCCATTGGATTCACAAAAATCTGCAAATTCCTTTGAATTGAACTCACCACCACGATCTGTACGCAGAACCTTTACAGATCTGCCAACCTCATTCTCAGCCAAGACTTTGAAATTTTTAAAGGCTGCTAAGGCTTCTGACTTGGTCTGCAAATAATACACCCATGTTTTGTGACTGTAATCATCAACAAAGATAATAAAGTATTGTTTACCTCTATTGGATGTTGGATTTATGGGTCCACACAGATCAGAATGAACCAGATCTAGCACTTGATTTGCTCTCCAAGATTTGTCTTTAGGAAAGCTGTCATGGTGCTGTTTACTGACCACGCAGATTTCACAAATTTCTGAAGGAGAATCAAAATGAGGAAGACCATTTACCATCTTCTTCTGCTGCAAAGCTTTCAACCCACCAAAATAAAGATGTCCAAATCGGCAATGCCATAACCAAGCTGTGTCCTTTAATCTGGCAGATAAACATGACAGATTTGTGGTCTACAAGTATAATGGAAACAACCTATTTCCCGTCATCTTGACCTTTGCAATCATACCAAGTTTTGAATCACGAATTTGGCAAACTCCATCTTTAATAAGGATTTCATATCCTTTTTCCTGAAGCTGTCCCAAACTAAGCATATTCGACTTCAAATCTGGTACATACAGAACATTAGAAATAGTCTGAATTGAATTGTCTTTGGCATGAATGGTTACCTTTCCCCTTCCCTTGACTGCAATAGTAGAATTATCACCGAATTTCACCTTGTCTTGACAAGAC